TGGAAATCAAGCTCCATCATTTTGTTCGTGGATCTCTCTAAACGTCCATATCCTTATCTGTAAAACAAGGAACATACACAAACTTACTTTATAAGGTTGCTTTGGGGACAAAAAACGTATATAAGTGCTAAGAACTGGGCCTGGTATATTTTATGTATCCAATAAATGTTAGTGATTGGTTTTTACGATTATTAGGGATGGAATTTTTCCGCATTTGTAAATTTGCAACATAATTGTAGCGTATTTTCTTGAGCACCAAAACTCATTCAACCATCTTTTTCCTAAACTACCTTTTCAAAGTGAATTCCACAAATCCCCAACTTACAAACACTAAACTTACATTTTATCTGTACAGATGGCTGCACGTACACTCATACCCTCCATTCTCAATGCCCTTCTCCTGCCACAAGGACAACTATGGAAATTTCTGAGCTTTTATCATCCCTGGATTCAAAAATAGGGAAATAAAAGAGGCCACATGAAGGTGGAACTGCTGAAAGTAGTCGTTTGGTCAGAATTTTGGAAAAGAAAGAACCTGACTGCTAAGAGTAATGGTTACTACCCAGTGAGTCAACAGAATTTTCAAAACAACTTCACTGTGTTAACCTCTATCCTGTTTCCCAAACCCACCGGTAACAGTGATGTGTCATCTCTGCTGATGGCTAACCTGCAGCCAGTACCCTCAGATCCTTGATGTTTGTCCATTTCTAATGAGCCACATCTTAAGTACCTTCAGAGATTCCTGGCTTCATCTTACCACCCAACCGACTTTTCTATGGTGGTCTGCATGGGTGACTTCATGACTTTCCATACAATAAACACACCAGGCACTTCAAATCTCTCTGCCTTCACCTTGGCTGGCCTCTCTTCCTGGAATATACTACTATCCTCGCCTCTTATCACCATGCCACCCTACCATCATTCGAGGCTTACTCCAACCACCACCTCCTCTCTGAAACCCGATTTCCCTCCCTTCAGTAGAATTAAATGTCATGTTCTGGGAATGTCCCCAGCGCTTAGCTGGTGTTTCTATTGTTAAAACAATCACCTATTAAACAGAGATATGTGGCAAGCATCATACTAGGTGCTGTCTATATGACAGCATGTAATTTTCACCACAAACTTATAAGACATTTTTACAAGCCCCATTTTACAAATGGAAGAACTGAAGCTCTGAGAGCTGGACTTACCAATGATTACACAACTAGAAAGCGATACAGCCAGGTTTCCAACCATGTTCTCACAGCTCCCAAGTCCACAAGATTTTCACTCTGCCATTTCACTTTCACAAGGTTTCCTCTCTTTGATAGCCTTATTTCCAGTTAGTTGATTATATGCATTACTTGTCTCTTGCACGAGATTATAGCAACTCTCTTGAACACCAGGGCATGCTCATTTTCATAAATGTGGATAATAATGTATCCACTTATACAAGATTCTTATGAGGATTAAATGAGACAATACATACTAGCATAGCATCAGGCAGAAAACAAACACCTAATAACTTGTTAGTTTAATTGTTACTATTATTGTTACCATGCCAGGTGCCAAGAATAAAATCTTGCACATAAATTCTGAGTTCAGGTTCATTTCTGAGGAGCAAATGAAATGGGTGAGGATCTGATGGAAGAAACTCACAGTGCTTTGGTTTGGCATTTCCCACTACCACTCAATCAGAAGCAACAAGAATGAAGACAGTTTCTACGATAGGATCTATTGATTTCTTATCTATTACCATATCAACATTAGGAAAACTTCCTGTTCAGTTCAGAACTCTGTATTACAGCTTTCTTACTTTCTTTCTGCCACCTCCTATGCAGTTTGACAAGGTTCTCCTCTGAGAATTCAGTACATATCAAGTTCTCAGCTAGAAGAAGAAAATTACAAAAGTAAATGGAAGCACAGAGGGCAAAATAAAATCTGAAATTTTGGTGTTTATAAACAGAGTAAACTCTTTTCTCTTCACAGAATTTAACTGTATGTTAAGTCATTGCATTTATTTAATCATGTGTCAATCATCCTCTACTAGGAGGTAAACTCTTAGTAGAGGAGGCTATCTATCCATCCTATTCACTGCTCTCCCTCAGGGCCTAATACATCAGGGCCTAATACATATCATGAAATATTGGTTGATTGATTGCAATTATTTGTATTCATGTACGTATACACATATATATTTTTATGCATATATGACATCATTCCATGACTTGTGAATAAATGGGCATATATCTCCACATATAAGTGCACCTTGTGCATTTGTGTGCATATATTTGTATTTATGCAGAAGATGTTTCAGACTGAAGAAAAACAGATGCTTGTTTGTCAAAGTTGTGTCTCCTTAACATGATAATGGCTTCTGACGGACCTGTCTAATATTTAATATACACTACTGCCATATACTAACAATCCAAATGTTAAAGAACATTAAATGTGCACGTAAAAAATAATGAACTTAAACCAAGAAACTTCTCCTACCTTTCATAAGTGTATCTGGCTGGGGAGAGAGGTAAGGACCAATAATGTTTCTCTGTAAATATGGCAGGAGAAACATTCCAAATTCTCACAGGCTGGCCAGATTTCCTTATTTAGGTTGTAACATATACCAGAAATTATAATTTATAACAATTATAAAGCAATCATTTTCTGGGTATGCAATGTGCCAGATACTCGGCATCAGTTTTTATTTAAAATTTAAACTTTATGGCCAAGCACGGTGGCTCACGCCTGTAATTCCAGCACTTTAGGAGGCCGCGGTGAGCAGGTAACAAGGTCAAGAGTTCAAGACCACCCTGGCCAACACGGTGAAACCTCATCTCTACTAAAACACAAAAATTAGCTAGGTGTGGTAGTGGGTCCCTGTAGTCCCAGCTACTCGAGAGCCTGAGGCAGGAGAATCATTTGTACCTGGGTGGAGGAGATTGCAGTGAGGCAAGATCGCACCATTACACTCCTCCAGCCTGTGCAACAGGGTGAGACTCTGTCTCAAAAAAAGAAATTAAACTTTAAAACTATTCTGCAATGTAGATAAACAAGAAAGCCAGAACTCAAAAAATATAGTAACTTGCCAAAGATTCTCTGCTGTTTATCTAGTGACGGTATACTCAGTACACATATTTAGAATTCTACTCTGAAGCTCAAACTTGTTTCAATAAGCAATGGTGCTTTTTACACGGTTTTACGGACACTAACTCTGAGGGATATGTGTTTAGGCAGTTTTTATAGTGTATGGGTTTTAACAAGTAATTCTCTGCACATAGAGACCAGACCAAATAACAGCCAAACACACTGACGATTACTCCAGACTACAGAAAGCAAGAAGCAAATGTGTCTCAGAAACGATCAGCCTGTGTTTCTCAGAATATGAAGCATTTTCCACTTGATTGTGTCCTCTAACAAGAAATCTATTCTCTAACAGGGCTTCATTATTCCTCCTCCTATATTAAAAAAAAAAAATGGACTCTTTCATTGCAAACCAATGGGAAGTTCTTAACTCATTTCCTTACATCACTTGAAATGAAAGTGCTTTCTGTCTTTAGAGAAAGGCATTGCTGGATGTGATGCCTTCTGCCAGCTTTTGAGTCCCACAATCAATACTGTGAAGGAAAGAAAAAATTAACCCTTAGATACTTTTAGGAAGAGTGGGGTTATTTTTAAATTCAATGATGATAGAGTTCTAAAAAGACAAGGAAAGCCCTTCCTTCCAAGGGGAATGCAAACTGGCTCTATTATCTTTCTAACCCTCTTTCCAGGAGGAGGTCTGAGGAGGAGAGGGAAATCTGATGTTTAAAGGTTTTTTTAAAAAAATATATAGATGCTCCTGAATATTTGTAAATAACTGCAGTGAAAAATGTTGATGTTGGAACTCACCTGTCCCTGCACTGATTAGAAAGATCCTCTGCAGAGCAGAGGAGAGCATTTCCCACCCAGACCACTACAATCACAGGAAGAAGCCAACCACAGTATTTTCAGCCCCAGGGACTAAAGGTGAAAGGGGGCACCTCGCAGTGGTGGAAGCACCAATGTGTTCCCTCAACATGTCTGGGGAGGTGGAGAGAAAGGGGAAGCAGTTCTGCCTTCACTTCAATCTAAGTACACAACCTCTGCTGCCAGGAACTTATTTTTGGACATTTAATCTAAAATTCCCAGAAAGGAAGGGGATCTACAACCTCTGAGTGATCCACAGAGTTCTGATTTCCAACCTGGCTTGGGGGTTTTATTTGTGTTGACTTCAAGAGCCTACCTGAAGTACATCTCCTGTCTTCCAGAGGCATCCACAGTCTAAGCCAGTAAAAAGAGCTGGGAGCTTTGGAGCTTTAAGTGATGAAAATTCCAGCCCCCGCAGGTCAAAAGTAATGACCTTGGGGAAGTTACTCATCCTTCTAAAGAATCAATTTGTGGTCAACAAGATGAGATAATAACACTGGAAAGTTGAGATTTCAACACAAAAAATTGCATAGTAACGTCTCTTAGTAGGACGCCAGTAAGTGCTAGTCATTTGCTGTGGGCACACTGCACAAAGCTGCGGGATCTGTCCATGTTTCCACTGCCCATCACTCCCACATTGGGGATTTATGTTACCGAATGTGCACCCTACCTCAGGGAGATGTCTTTTACCTGCTTTTTGTTCTCTACAGCTTCAAATGTGTGCAGAGCCCAAGAGATAAATCCTCATTAAGTGCAAAAGACTAAGTTATACTGGGTTCTCCTTGCCTCTGGTTATCCGCAAATTGCTAAATACAACTCCGGCTTGGGAAGAAATGCGTAGAGTCTTTACGTGCGCAAAGCAGGTGTCTGCATATCTCTGGGGGTCTGGGATGGGAAAGGGACCCTGAATAAGTCTCCAGGTTGGGAATGGCACAAATGGAGGGAAGGGACAAGGAAGAGCGGCTGAAAGGGACGTCTCTGCGAGGCGGTGCAAGGCAGTCCTCGCAGGTGACCCTGTCCTCTGCACACCGGGAGGAAAGGACGCTAGAGGGGAGGAGCCGCGAGGGCTGGAGTACCTGAACGCTCTGGCCGCGGTCTGGTTCCTCCTCCACGCCGTGCCCTGTTGCAGCACCCCCTGCACGATCTCCTTCTCGTTAGGCAGCCGGTAGACCGGGAAGATGTAGAGCCAGCAAAGGACCACGACACAGAGGGCACTGGCTCCCATGGGCAGCCGGGTCCGCGGGAACTTCCACGCCAGTACAGCCATGGCCCCTCTAGACGTTTGTCGCCGGGCCCGCCCGCAAGGGCTCATCTCAGCCCCGGCGTCCCAGGGGCGGGGGCCGGGGCCTCAGCACAAAGCTAGGCGAAGTGGCAGCAGAGGGTCCCCCAACTGCCGGCCCCCCATGCACACACACCTTTCGGTTTCCTGCTTGCAAATGCACGCACGCTTCTTCGGCCCCGTCGGCCCCAAAGGTCAGAGCAAGGATTTTTTTAAATGCAACTTTTCTAAGGATTTCTTTCTAGGGGAAGTGGCTGGGGGGCAAGTCACGATCTATGGCCATGGTCGTTTCCCCTGCAGAAGGCGGGCGCTGGGGTCTCCAAGAGCGCAGAGAGCGGCGGCGGCGAGTCGCTCCTGCCGGTTCTGCAGCATCACGGTCGCCCTCGGCGAGGGTCCGGGAAAAAGCTCTGCTGTCTCCCAGACATTTGGCCCGTGGCGTCCCCTTGTCCCCTTCCGAGAGCGATGCTCCTGCGCCCTTCGCCGCCTCCCGCGCTGCTGCGCCCCCAGGAACCCCACCCCCCCTCCCCACTCCAGACGCGCTCTCCGCGCTGCGCTAAGTCCTTGGAAATTTCCACGGCGGCCCGGGACCGCTATCCTGCCCCGGGCTCCTCCGCCTTGCCCGCCAGGACCCTCGTTCCCCACCCCTCCCGGAGAAGAAAAGAACTCGCTCTCATCAGTTAATTCAGCGGCGCGCCGCAGCCTTCCGCTGCGCCCCGGACTTCACAGACAAACGCCCGGGGATTGGTGGAAATCAAGGTCTCCCCCTCCCTCCCCCACCCGCAAAATTGCCTCCTTCGACCCGCTGCGAGCCGCGACACTCGCCCAGAGCGCGCACCCCTCACTCGTGCCCTTGTTCTTTGGAGATAACGGCAGACAATAAAAAACAACAGCACCCCGCCAATAGAAATAGATCCGTCCTCAAGTGTGGCGGAGACTGGCTAATATCCTGACCCTTCGACACGCGGCCGGTGTGCCCAGGCTGTCACCCTGCTGCCGTCACCCTCGTCTTTCTCTAACTGGTTGGGTATTAACCCGCAGCAAGGCGCCAGGAGGCTGGCGAAGATTTATTCCTTCCTGGGCCCCCACCCCCATTAGCCAGTCCCGGAGCCGCGGCCCGCGTGCGCGCGCGCGCGTACACAGACACGCGCGCGCGCGCACACACACACACACACACACACACGCTCACAGGCTCCAGCGAGCGCGCGCACGAGGCGGTGCGTGCACTCCGGGGTTCGCCACCTCGCTGGGAAAGGCACTGCTGCATCCAGATGTGCAGGCAGCTGGTGCCCAAACATTAGACCTCAAGATTTCACAATGCCTTGGAGGCGCGCGGCCTTTTAGATTAAAGGACCTATGATTCTTAAATGTCCTTCTCGCTCCGCCGATAAGCTTATCGCAAATCCGACCTTGGAAAAGCGCCACCAGCCTTGACCCACCGAGCGGAGGGAGGGAGTCACTGTTAGCCATTTCTGATGGTCCGGGAGGCCGACGCATAGCTCGGGTACCTCCTAGCGGTCGCCTATTCTATTTGCTTAAGCATCTAGTCAAGCATAAAGTGTGTAAGGACAAAGAAGAAACCTGGTCAGCTTAGTCATCACAAAAACAAAATCTAAGGCTCTAACTCCATATGTTCAGCCGACCACGTTGCGGTGCCTGTTATCTTTTTCTAGCATTCCTTCTCCACTGAGAGATGAAACTTGAGAAGTTGATGCAAAGTTATTTACCAAAAGCGAAGTAGCATCCCAGATGACCACCTTGGTGTCATATTCTCAACAATACTGTACTCTCTAAGTTGAGTGACCTACTGCCCTCCACTGGCAGTCATACCCAAGAAATCCTCGTCCTACTTAGGTAAATCACTAGAGACAGGGAAACCTTGAAATCCCAGTCACATCTTACCACAGTGGAGGCTATTACAGATTCTTTAAAATGAAGATCATCTTAAGTCCTGCAAAGTAACCAGCCAACTCTTCTATTCTGGAAAAGGGTTCGAAGTGAAGGGGGAGCTTTTCCTACTTTCCAGGGCTTTGAATAAATCATCTGCCATCTTTAATCGTATAATTTAAATAAAATACAACCAGCCCCATTTCTTTCTTCCTCAAGTCCAAGGGTTACTTGTAAATAACAAAGAAATAAACTGAAAAACAAAATAAAAGCATACTACACTTAGAAAGGGGCTATGTAAATATTTCCTCATTTAATATTATACGTATGCATTAAAATCATGCTTTATATGAAAAGATCTGTGTGACACAATGTGCTGTTTTTCTTTCTTCTGCAAACTAAGAATTTTCTTACGCTGGTGGGCTTTTGCCCACCCAACAATTCAAACTTATTCCCTGCTTTTTCTTCTTCTTTTTATTTATTTATTTAATTTTTATTGTACTTTAGCTTCTAGGGTACATGGGCAGATCATGCAAGATTGCTGCATAGGGACATTCATGGCATGGTGGTTTGCTACCTCCATTCCCCCATCACCTATACCTGACATTTCCCCCCACGTTATCCCTCTCCTCCCTCCCTCCCACTGTCCCTCCCCTACCATCCCATCAAAGGGCCCCAGTGTGTGATGCTCCCCTCTCTGTGTCCACATGTTCTTATTGTTCATCACCCACCTAGGAGGGAGAACATGTGGTGTTTGATTTTCTGTTCTTGTATCAGTTTGGGGAGAATGATGGTTTCCAGGTTCATCCATGTCCCTACAAAGGACACAAACTCATCATTTTTTATGGCTGCATAGTATTCCATGTGTATATATGCCACATTTTCTTTGTGAAGTCTATCACTGATGGGCATTTGGGTTGGTTCCAAGTCTTTGCTATTGTAAACGGTGCTGTGATTAACATATGTGTACATGTGCCTTTATAATACAATGATTTATAATCCTTTGGGTATATACCCAGTAGTGGGACTGCTGGGTCAAATGGTATTTCTATTTCTAGATCCTTGAGGAATCACCACACTGTCTTCCACAATGGTTGAACTAATTTCGCTCCCACCAACAGTGTAAAAGTGTTCCTATTTCTCCACATCCTCTCCAACATCTGTTGTCTCCAGATTTTTTTAATGATCACCATTCTAACTGGCGTGAGACGGTATCTCAATGTGGCTTCAATTTGCATTTCTCTAATGACCAGTGATGATGAGCATTTTTTCATATGTTTGTTGGCTTCATATATGTCTTCTTTTGAAAAGTGCTCATATCCTTTGCCCACTTTTGGATGGGTTTGTTTCTTTCCTTGTAAATCTGTTTTAGTTCTTTGTAGATTCTGGATATTAGCCCTTTGACAGATGGGTATATTGCAAAAAAATTTTCACATTCTGTTGGTTGCTGGTTTGCTCTAATGATAGTTTCTTTTGCTGTAAAGAAGCTCTGGAGTTTTATTAGATCCCATTTGTCTACTTTGGCTTTTGTTGCCAGTGCTTTTGGTGTTTTAGTCATGAAGTCCTTGCCTGTGCCTATGTCCTGGATGGTTTTGCCTAGGTTTTCTTCTAGGGTTTTTATGATGTTAGGGTTTATGCTTAAGCCCTTAATGCATCTGGAGTTAAGTTTAATGTAACATGTCAGGAAGGGGTCCAGTTTCTGCTTTCTGCACATTACTAGCCAATGTTCCCAACATCATTTATTAAACAAGCCCATTGCTTGTTTTTGTCAGGTCTGTCAAAGATTACATGGTTGTAGATGTGTGGCGTTGCTCCCAAGGCCTCTGTTCTGTTCCATTGGTCTATGTCTCTGTTTTGGTACCAGTACCATGCTGCTTTGATTACTGTTGTCTTGTAGCATAGTTTGAAGTCTGGCAGCATGATGCCTCCAGCTTTATTCTTTGTGCTTAGGATTGTATTGGCTATGCAGTTTCTTTTTTGGTTCCATATGAAGTTTAAAGTGGTTTTTTCAAGTTCTGTGAAGAAGATCATTGATAGTTTGATGGGGATAGCACTGAATCTATAAATTACTTTGGGCAATATGGTCATGGCTTTTTCTTAACAATTACACCAAATCTAATCAGGCCATCCCTCTTACTCTTCCAAGTCACACTATATTGGTCCATTCCCACACTACTATAAAAAATGCCATCAAGACTGGGTAATTTATAAAGGAAAGGGGTTTAATTGACTCACAATTCCACATGGCTGGGGAGGCCTCAGCAAACTTAACAATCATGGCAGAAAGTGAAGCAGGAATGTCTTACATGGTGGCAGGCAACAGAGAGAATGCATGTGTAGGACATAGTGTCAAACATTTATAAAACCATCAGATCTCTGGAGAACTCACTATCATGAGAACAGCCTAGGAGAAACAGCCCCCATGATCCAGTCATCTCCCAGCAGGTCCTGCCCGGGACACGTGGGGATTATGGAGATTACAAGTCAAGATAAGATTTCAAGGGGGACATAGAACCAAACCATATCACACACAGGTATCAGTTCTGTCACAGTGTTGTGATCTGCTCATGGGATGTGTGTGTGTGTGTTTTTCCTCCCTATGTAAAAATCTAGTGAATTATTCAAGACCAAGCCAAGTAGCTAGAAAGTTCTCATTCAATAATGTGTTCCCAGGTCACCTAAAACACAGGCTTTACGGGAACTCAATAACTATTTGTGGTTTCTGCTTCTATTCTCTTTGACCTCCTGATCTGATGTCATAGTATTTGCTGGCTCTGACAGATGATTAAACACTTAGTTGTGTTCTGTTGCATTGTATTGTATTGTATTGCTAGTATTTTTCATGTATAACTATGGCTCATCAACTAGGCAGGAAGGATATTTGGTCTTATGTATTAAGTGAAAAGCCTGTGCTTTTGATTAAATTAGGACTCCACATGGCATGGCTTAGTGTCTAGGGGAAGAGCAAGAACAGTATTTCACATTTTTTTCATGTTCCTCCAGGGACCAACTCAGGCACATACATCTCAACAAATAATTGTTGCTTGGTTTTATAATGAGATCCTCAAACTTATTCAGGCTATTACCAAGGCATTACTGTTTAAGGAAAAGTATGAATTCCCAAGTTTTAATGTTTTAAATGAAATATTTTGCCTGATATTTAGCCATCTTGTTTGTATGACTTATAGTAAGTAGTTTGGGTATTCTTTTATGTCTCCACATCTGAGCATGCTTAGAGGACACAAACAGGATTTGCTCAGGGACTAAATAACTTTTAAAACTCTATAAATGTGTAATAGAAAAATGTAAAGGCAGGAGTCCAGATTAAACAAAATTGTCAGTGATTTGAGATAAAAATTTTAAAAGGCCATTCTTCTGTCTCTGCTCAAGTTCTTCTTGTCAGAATGGCTTGGAATGGCCAGTCAAAAGCATAAAATGATGCCTGTTTCACAACCAATTATACCACCAAAGTATATAAGGTTGTAGACTGAGAAAAGTTATAAATATAGTTTATCTGAATAAATGCATTTCTTTGTCTCCACCCTCTATTGTGGCCACTAAAAGAACAGTAACGGAGTAAAAGGGAAAAAGATTCAGAAGAACAAGAGAAAAAGAAGGAATATAAAAGCAGACAA